AGTTGCTTTTTTTCTATTGGTCTAACTCTTAGACTCTAAGATGAAGTTATGTTTATAGATTATAGTTTATAGTTATAGATTTGACTTATACCATGTAGAATAAAATAATCGATATTTTTACTTTTTTATTACGAAAGATCTTCATTAGGTTTTCGTTTTTGAATTGTTATTTTTATTATTAATAAAATGTTTACATAATGTATTTTAGATAGGTATGTTTGATTTTATAATGTGTTTTGTATGGTTCTGTCTCCATAGGGTTCATTTCGTAATGTTGTAGATGAAAAGAAATCTTTTACAAATTAATAGTTTTCTTAATAATTGCAAAATACTGACAAAATGTAAAAATGCACACCATTCCGGTTATCGACAAAATAGTTTTTTTTTTATTTTGTCACAAATTAGTTTTTGTGATGTGCAAAAATTATGTGAGTGTTTGTCAAGAAACCATTTCGTAGCGAAAACTCGTGGCCACGAGTTTTATCACAACAACGTATAGTCATTAATTGAATTGTAGGATGGGTCACTTTTTTACAGGAAAAAAAATTAATTGATTTTTATCGGGCATAGCAATAAAAAGGTACAAATTGTCATTTATAAGTTACTTTGTAAGTTTTGTATTAATGTGGTATAATTTTTTGCCTCCGGATCGGCGTTGTGAATTCATGATACAAGAAAATTAATATTTTACGTTAAAAATATTGAATTATGTTTTAAATATTTTAGAAAATAATTTATGTGATAAAATGCAATTCCATTAATTATATTTCATTATTGATTAAAAAAATATACAAAAAAAAGTAATAGTATGATAATAGTAATAAAACAAATGGTTGCAAAATCTTTTATATTATCAAATTTTAGCATTACTTCGTAACTCTATCTGTGCTATAATAAAATTTTATTTATCAGATTATCTATACAAAATCCTTCCGTTACAGTATTGACAGGTTTTTCGACTGCTTGTGTATGATATGGCAAATTTAGCAAACATGTATTATCTTCTTCGCTTTATTTGACGAATAATTGAATATTTTCATCGTTGAATGTTTTTAAAATTGGTGGTCAAGTGATATTTTATTGATATTTCATCAATTCATACGCCAGGTAACCGGGTAGAAATACCAAAACGTAAAAGCAACAACAACAATGGTTTCGATTTGGTCCGTTTGATACATTTCTGTTTCGAGTTTATATTCAAACAATAGAAAAGGGATACGAAAAAACTGTACACCGGTTACAACGGAGCGCATGGGTCGGGGCGGTGACCGGATGAAAAATGGACTTGACCGGGTAGGCATCGTCCGTCATCGCACGATCGTGACAAGTAGATCTTTTAATACATTATAATTAAATATTATGAGATCCATGTTGTAGCGTCGCGGCCAGAGCTACAAAACCATCATAATCGCAAAACGCGCTATATAAGTAAACTTGTCTCACCAGTAATTTCCATTATCCGACGATCCGGTAGACGATAATGCGAATTGTAGTTATTATTATTTTTTTTATTTTTTCGTCTTCCAAACTGTTTTACCGCGTACAATTTTATTCACGTAAACAGGGCCATCACCAGAAAAAGAGCAACGGTACCATTTAGCCCCAGATCCCGGTCTAATAAAATTTAAAGTCCTTTAACGTCGAGATTGATTAGAAAATATTCGGTGTTGTACTACTAAGTACCGTAATATCGTCAATGCCTTAATAAATAGTATTATAATTGTTGCCGTTTTGCTTTCAACGTCAAAAAGTGTTCAACGACGAATTTAACCGTCTTAAATGCATGCTTTTAACTGAAAAGTCCATTAATTCGTCATAAAAAATGTTATTTCTTATGAAAAAAAAATATACATTTAGCAATGACATTTTTCTCTGTGGTTTTGAAATTGTACTTACGAATTGCAAAGGAGAACGTTCTTTTTCGGCTCTCGAGTGCATGGAAAGCTGTTTGAGGTCTATAACTGCATCACCCGATTGAATGCGTTATTTCTCTCAGGTATAAACTTCTAACTTCTTTAAAATTTTGATTATTCTGATGTACTCTGAACGTACTCTTAAACATTTTTAACAAATGTCTAAAAGACATATATATATCTATATAATAGTAGACTTATGCATTGGATATGCTTTTACAATCGTACACTATGAGCGTTAAAATTAACTATAGGTACTATAATATTAATCAGTGTTATCAAACTTTTTTGTTATAGCGACCCACAAATGTCTTCTTGATCTGGTAGGCTACCCTATAAAATAAGAAATTAGTAAAATATATTAGCATTAATTATCATTTTTTTTTAAGTAATTTCATGTTATAACATAATACAAAACTGAATAATTTAATCTTATAAAAATAATTTTTCAATTAAAATATATATACATAAAATTAAAATATAAATTGACATAAGAATATCATAATACCAACAATTATTTTATTGGAAATATAGGATAATGATGTGGTGACTAATTTTGGATGTGGTTGCCTAATACTTCCCAATGGGATATAAATTTATGCATAGATCTTGTATGAAATCCAATCTGTTTTTTTGTTGGTCATAATTGAATTATTTCTTCGCATAATTAAGTGGTTAGTATTGGTAAAAATTATTAGTTTTTTTTATCACTTTAAATAAAAGTTCTGAATATTCACTATAGTTACAATGCACACCAAGAATCTATGAGTTAAAATTATTGGGCTAAACTTCCATTCGGTAAAATGTCTTCATATACGATACATTTGAGTTGAACTGTTCCATTAGTTTCACAACTTCGAAACCCGAATTTAATGAACTATCTATGACCGCCTGATGTTATTAATTTCATTTTTAATATTGTTCTGATCTGTCTGATGGAACCGGCTGTAAATTTTCAGGTCGATTTCAAACCTCAAATTTATCCATAAAAAAGTTTTAACAAAAATGATAAAATTTTATTAGTTTTAAAAAAGTAACTACCCGGTCATAAGCAAACAATTTTCGTTTTTACTTTCGCAGTTTCGTTTACTCGTTTACTGTTTAACTGCCATGGTCCAATTGGTAATCGATATGCGAGTACAACAACGAGATAAACTATCGTCAGTCATTAGCGCGTTTATCGATTAGAAAATAAATTTCCCGTTCTCCTAACAATTTTTTGGTACGGGTATTTATTTATACTTTATTTTCCATATTTTAGAAATTTCTTTGGCCATTCGTGCGCGGCATTTCGGTCGGTCGCGTTGAGATAAAATTATGTTTTTCGATGACAAATTCGCGCTCGGCTGCGCATCGTATTTGTAAATGTTCCAATACTAATTGATAGAAACTAATGAAACAACGGAAAACGGAACGCTCACGAAAGAAGGAGGAAAAATAAAAATGTTTCGTTTAATTCATCGAGAAATGTGGCACTACATTAGTAATCGACTGCGCGTCTCCGTCGCTACACGTCATGTGGCTTGCGCGCCCTTTGCTGTAACGGTTGTCGTCTTCGACACACTTTTTCGTCGATCCCGTTTTGCGTTTTTCGTGGTAGCACACGCGTCGCGCTGCAATAAATATTACTTCCGTCCGGAATATCAAATCGGATAGCGAATGTAATACAATTTCTACCGGTGTGCGTGTGCGTGTGCATTATACTTGTATTGTACATCGATCATAAAGTATTTTTTATTTATTTTTTTCATATATTATTACATACATACGCATTTCATAACAAGTTGAGAAACAGAAAAAAAAAAAAAAAAACGAGGAAAAGTTGTTTCCCCCCTTTATAATGTTATACATGTATAATTCTTTCCCTTGTGTTTCGCGACGCGGACTCGTGCAGCGACCGTTTTTTTTTCTTTTTATTCTTTCTTCCACTACCGGCCGCGGCATGCGAAACTTCGCCAGCAGTACTATATTATATTGTACGTATCCACACAAAACATTATTCGATATGATTTCAGTTTTTTGAAAAAATAAAAATGAAAATATGGCGATACTCCTAGGTCGGGTGAATGGTACCGCTGTATTGGTCTTTTAAACATGAAACCAATATACTATTGGTTTAGAAGAGGAAAAATTCTGGGTAAAAAATGTTGAAGACAGTTATTTTAGAGGAAAAACCAAATTTCAAAATAAAAAATAAAGTCTGAACATTTAATGTTCTAACTTTCGCTGCAATAGAAGGGATCAAAATATTGAAAAATAGAAAATTTCAAATGCCTATAAATAGCACAAACTTCAATTAAAGTATCTCGAAACTTTTAAATATCTTTAACTAAATTACTAATATCAAGTAATGGAAATTCGTTGAAATATTCGATTCCACCAAAATTAATTTTGTAACGTTTGTAAATCTTTTTTTACGACTTTCCAGTATTTTTTTTTTTTTTTTAATGCTACAAGAAAAATCTTATAAAAAAAAACTTATATTTAGTTTTCAAAACTGAATTATAAAAATTCAAAATTTTATGCATATTTTATTACAAAAATATAGAGGTAGACAAGATTTTCTATCAACAATTCAATATGGTTGTAATGATCTTAGCAGTCTTGATAGTTGAAATCGTTAGCACAGACCTCAACAAAATAATAGTGTATGATGAACTAATATGCTATGAATAATGGGTCGAATCTCGGTTGAAATTTTGTTTCTTGCGATTCTTTCTCCATCTTTCTTATTAATTCGGAAAACCAAAACCAAAAAAATAACCCACTTAATGTACCAATTAGAACCCATTTCCTATATTTTAGTTTTTTTTTTTTTTTTGGTGATGATCGAAGCATTTCTTCTAGTAGACATCGTGTACACAGAAACAAAAAATAAAAAAATAAAAATAAAAAAGAACCACACATCATAGTAAAACCAATAAATTCTTCGTTTCGTTCAGAGTCGAGGATACGATTTTTATACAAGTGCATGTATTATTATTATTATATTAAACGTTTAAAATAATTAAACGATCGAAAAAAAATTATTACAACGTTATTATTTGTCATCTTGTTAATTACGTATGTTTATTTTTTTTTTTACAGTTATTACTAGCGACGGTTAAAGCCTGGAACTCTGCGAACACGAACACGTCTTTCATTGATGACGTAAGTAATTGATTTCTACCATACACGCACACACACACACACACACATATATATATATATTAACCACGTTAACTCGCGTTAAGGTTAATCCAATATTGTACAGCACTTCGCGTTGGATTTTGTACTTGCCGATAACCTATAAACACGTTTCCGGATCGGTATTTATTTATCTTACACTATCTCCTGTTCGCCACGGTCCGTCGCCGTAAACCAATGACGGTCACACGAGCTTTCCATGTAAAAGCGTTATCAACGCGGGTGTGTCCAGAATTTTTAAGCAAGTCGGCACAAGAAAAATTTACGAATTCGGCATTGGGTCACCAAAAGGGACAGAAAAAACGATCTTCGAATTTTAAAAAAAAATCGTTAATAACCTGTAATACATTTACGGATACAATTACAAACGTTCTTTATTCCTATTATAATTCCAAACGTCGTTTTGTTGGAATCATAACTTTAGACTAGAATCGATTGATAACATAATTAAAGTCAAACTGTGCAGGTCGTGTCTGTATATAGGAGGCACGACCCGTAGACACGCCTACGATCATAGATGTACACTACTCACAATCGCGGTCGACGCAACTTTTCTACACTTTATTTTGATCGAAAAACGATAGAACGTTTTAAAATTTGCACGTGAAAAACTGTTGGTAAGAGAGACATCTGGGCAGTAGCGAATTGCACAATCGTGTTATCGGCACCTCGTTGTCCGTCGTTAATCATTACACACGAACTATACGGTTATGCAAATAACTAAAAAATAAGTTTTTCTCTATTTTCCGTTGCTATTTTTAGTGCAGTATAGGTACTTAAACTGAATAACTTTATGTATTTATCAATAGTAATTAACATGTACTTGCATTTAGCAATAAATAATGTCTTTTTCGTACATCTATTTGTTGATTAAAAAAGGCTAACGGAATTTTAAATGAGTACTTTATTGGATAGTATTTGTTGATTAATAAACATCAGTACACAATACAATATAAATTTTTTTTCAAATTTAGACTATCGAACCTTCGTATAACTTATGTAACTCCTATATAACATTTTTACACCTTCTTATGACCTATTTCCAATACTTATGGGGCTATTCCATTCGCTTATTTAATTTTTCTCGACGTTTTCTTCTTTATTTTCGTATTCGTCTTATTGAATGTTATGTAACTCGTATTGGTGTATATATGTATACGATTTAAATTAATCATTATCAGGTTTCTTACATTAATCATAATCAATTCGACATTTTATTGTTAGATTCACACATCAATTAAGCATACTCATATAATATATATTCGTACGATTTAAATAATAATTGATTTAAATTACAATTAGATTTAGATAGAGTCTAGTGGTCTTCTTATCGGTTACGCGAAATCGTTTGATGAGAAGATATAGTGTATCATTATAATTATCACCAGACGTTCCCTTGTAGACTACTATATTTGAGTTGATAAAAAAATAAATATATTTTATGTATTACACCGTTGGTAAGCCTAAACAAGTTTACTGCTATCCCTACAACGCTACAAATTATACGTATATTATAGTTAATCGCGTTAATTTTAAAAATATGTTGACCGCTCCGTTACGTCCCGTGCGGCTCTTACTGTTGTAAGTGTATTTACAGTTCGAAATTCGAACACATACGACCATAATTTTTAATATCTGTTCGCACAAATCACTCGTTGATTTAGAAGTTAAAAAAAGCTGGGGAAGCTAGTACAGTGAGTTACTGCCATAGTTCGTTACGCATGTTGATTTGTACTAAGTATTTTTTTAAATATTTTAATACGTTCGATATAGTTCCACCTAATGTCTAAGAGAGGGGGGCTTCAGCCCTCATAACCCCCCGCCCCTTGTATCCACGCCTGGCACAGATTAATGCACCCGACGCGTCGGCACCTTATAACAACATGCCTGGTTCTACACACTGCTTATGATTACGTATGTACGTACGAATATATGCATCGATATTGCTGCGATAGAATAACACAAATTTACATTCGAAATGCACCGACAATGGTTTATCGGATGTTTCTTGTTGTGGGAAACAGGAGGCTCCTCGGACTTCATGAACCCCTTTCCTCCTGTTTATGACGTTGAGCGCTGCGTGTACTGCTCCCGCAACCGGCAAATACTTAAAATTCATTGACTTGAATCTCACCCCTCCACCCCCGTTAAATGTATACAGTCGCCGTAAACGTACGTTTTTACGCGCACAAATGATTGCACCCGTAAATTGATAATACATACACCCTTAACCGTTAATTTATATATATATATATATATATATATATATATATACACTCGTATATATACACATATTATGTACGAAATAATGTTTTAACGCGTGAGTGAGGGTCGGATTTTCCGTGTCAGTGGTTGACAGATAATAGTGCCGTATACAGGTATAGGTGATAACGTTAAATGCGCTCAACGTCACGCATTTGAAATTTCGGCTGTTCGGATGACTAAATTATAAATGAGTGCTAATCGAATTATCTTGCAGCCATGTATCGTTGCTGCTACTGTTGCTACCGTAAAGTTCAATTGAAATCGTCTCTCGGATACACGTATTACTCGCGACGGTTCCTCCATGTTCAACCGACACCTAGTACAGTTCGTTGCACTTACCTACGCACGCCGTTTATACTTTTATAAATCAATTGTAATAATATAAAATGTTAAGTGTACATTCGTATTCGTTTATAGTAATGTTTGGGCATTTTAAGAGTCGCACGGTAAAAATAAAATTTATCGCGCAACAATATATGTATACATGTATGTTAGAGTCGCCAGATTTTGAAATGCCTAAATCGGGACATTGATCAAATTGGAAGATGGTAAGTTTCCACACGAAACATAAGCAGGTGAAAGTTTACACATATATGTACATATACGAAAAATCATATAGTGGTACGTAAGTTCCTACGCGAACAAATGTATAGGAATATGCATTATGTAATTGGAGATGCCATTTCTATTTGTGCCAAGCTTATTATCGTAAAATGCAAAGCTTAGGTTTAACAACGCAAATGATAACCTAGGAAAGTGGCTGGTACATTTATTTGGTTTGCCATTTCTTAATCCAACAGAAGTTGGAGATTGTTTTGTTGACGGTTTCATGGTTGTAAAACCAGATAATAATAAAATAAACGAATTTTGTAATTATTTAGTGACAATTTATATAAAGGAAAACAGTACGTTCCGTCTTAGTATTTAAGCTATTGTAGAAGTCTTACAACAAATTCTTGTGAAAGTTTTCACTCAGAATGCAATTCGAATTTTTATCATTATCATCCTAACATTTTCAAGACAATGAGTTTTACAAATTTTACAAATTTACACATAAATGTAATTTATATAATTATTATAATATTGAATACGTGTAACATGCGCATGATTCAATTAAAAATGGATTAGATTTATTTTAAAAAACACAAAACAAACAAATTTTAACCACACCAACTACATTCTTAGTCTTAAATCTGAATAAAGTGGGGAAGGAAGTTTGTATTCATTGTAAATTTTAGTCGTGTAAGAACTTACTTACTGTTATATTTTTTCTCGTGTTAGAACTTTATTAGACAAACCCAAGTATGATTTTTACCTGCTTATCTCGAGTGGAAACTTACATTCGCTCATTGAATCAGTGGTGTATTCAGGATTTTTAAATGGCAGGATCAAAACACGTTTTTGGGGAAGTAAGGTAAGAGAAGATGTGAGATTTCAGCCTTCAGCCCTCTCCCCCCACTAAATTTATAAATTTATTTCCAGCGTTTTAAAATACCATAAAGTTGTAGAAATGTTTATTAAAATATAATTTAAAATAAAAATAAACCAACAGTGGAAGTTGTAATAGCATCGCTGCGAAATAGTATGGTATAAAAACTATAGTGAATGATAGTATTGGACGAGAGTCGTCACAACATTCATAATATAAGATCAAAAATATAGTAAATACTAGTAATCACGGTAGAAGTAATACGTTTATGTACCGAAGACTAGTATAGTACATACTCATAAACACAATCTATAAGGGTGATGAGAGCCACAGTCCCATTATCCTTCTCCCTTTGGCTACGTCACTGTATTGAATAACCATTTTTTTTTTTTTTTTTTTAATGAAAAAAATAATAAGTACATCGTTTTGTGGTTTAAATATTTATTGGCTAATACAAAAATACACAATTATTGTATATAACCATGTCGTGAGACTAGTTTTAGTCATTTAGATAACATAATACGATAACCATATTTCTTCAGTCTGCAATATTATTCTGTGTTTATATAGATAATAATACAAATAATAAATAATACAATATTAAAATGTCATTTTCCCTTAGGTTCTATTAACCGGGACAAACTCAATGACCGGTTGGGACACCGGTCCTTTGGCATTATTCAAAAATCAAATTTATCCATTTTTTTCATCCGAAATTTCTTATTAGTTAATTATTACAAATTTTATAAAAAAATGCAACTATTCATATAATAAAAGACTTGATTTAAATTTAGAATAGAAATTAATTAACAATAGATTATGAATCTAAATTAAACTAAAACTAATGCAATACTTTCTTCTAAATCTAACTCTAGTTATAATGCAAATTTTGATATAAAAATTTGTAAAAATATCTAGTCGTTTGTTGAAGGATTTTAATTTAACTGAAAATTAATAGCGTTTTCATTATTGGGCTATATAAATATTTACCACATATTTTATTATCTTTACAAAAACTAGAGTACATTTTTTTTTTCGTATTATTGATAACCAACGGCCTATCAAACTAAATTTAAGTTTATCTAATCTGCTAAATTTTTACTGAATTTTAAAATATTTATTAAGGTATATCCATAACATGTATTTCAATAAAAATTTTCGAATTTTTAAACGCGGTAAGGGATTTTCTGGAACACATATCATAGTCGTAAAAGTTGACGTGTCTTGACATTAAAAAAGTGCCTTGATAAATAACGTTCGTTTTTCGCGGCAGTGGTCGAAGGACACGAATAAAGTGACATGACACTATACTTGTGGGACACACTGTATGCACGAGTATATGTTTATAACGACACCGAGAGCCATACATAACCCGTAATATTTATTGTTACGATAATATATAATAAATTGCGCGTCTCATCACGCGTCATATTTGCGCGTATATTTTTTATCTTGTCTGCGTCGTCTTATACAGCCAACTTGTACACATTTTAATACTTATTTCCAGTACGAAAACTCGTGGTCGCCCTGGTCCGAGTGGTCGTCGTGCTCGAGAACGTGCGACGGCGGGGCCACTTATCAACTCCGACGGTGCAATGCGGTGGCCGGCTGTAAAGGTCACCATGTCAGATACAAGATCTGCAACATGGAGGTAATATTCCATAACGATTTTTACGTACTACTATGGTTATTGTTATTGGGTTCAAGACGAGTCGACGAATCGGTGCAATGGGTTTTTACGAGTAAAGTGAATAGTTATTAATTTTGTGAAAACAATACATTTGTCACTCGGTCAATCATGGGAAATACCGTTGCGTTAATTTATATATTTATAATTAATACAGAATACTCTTGCTTCTCGCATTATGTACATATATACAACGGTAAATATTTTTATGGCGTGTACATTATTGGTAATAATTATTTTTATTATTACCCGTTTATTTAATTGCTGGGATTTTGGTAATAGGAGAGGGTTGGGTTGAAATCCGGGAGACACTTTTAAAAATTATTAGAAACCAACCGTTTTAATTAACCACGGTAAACCCGACTCTAACAAATTGAAATATATTGATATATAATTAAATTATGAATATATTGATTTACGAGTGTTAATGATTTTAATTTTATTTTTTACTACCTATGTGTACTTTATTATTTGATTTTTAATTGTACTCGCGTCATTGATGATCTGCATCAAGACTTATGAGTGTTTGTTTTTATTTCAAATACATCATCATGAACTGGAGTCAACTATTGTATTGGACCCATAGTTGTATAGTAACTGCGAACACTCACTTTTATACTGCGTAAATACCAATAACGAGTAACGGTTCTAGAAATCAGGTACAATACTGTTAAATTCAACCAACCTATATTTTTCAGTTAAAACGATAAACAATTGTATTTCTATCAATATCATATTTTGTTATAAACATTTTATTCGAAGATAAAGTAAAATAGTGTGACAATTTCTGAATAAATCGATAGTTTTTACGAGTAGTATTACGAGTAGCTAACCATCCGCACAAAGCCTTCATTACTATCGACATAATTTCATAATTTGTCACTGCTCGTTTCCAGTACTTTAAAACGTAATGCACAATAATTTTTAATTTACCTAAGTTCATGCAGTGTTTAAATTAAAGCTAAAATATTTTCCTAAACCAAATTACAAAATATTAAAAAGTTTTTACTAGAACATGGATCAGAGAGGTATGAGTAGGATTATACACCGGTGCTCTATCAAAACTTCCCAAGCCTTAGAGTTGTCGACAATTTTTTTAAAATATTTCATACGCAAACATATTAATTTTACATAAAAATCATACCACTAAAATTAAGTAACATGGAATTTCGAACAAAAATAATGTTTGTAAAAATGTTATTTTAAACTGAATAAATGTATAAATGCATTTACTAGTAGTTCTCAATTTTTATTTGTTGTATACATTTTTTTGTCATATGTAAAGGCGCGTCCAGACGGAGCAGCTTTTGCCGCGCGACTATGCAGCGTGGCCTCTGTCGGCCCCGTGCCGTGCGGCAAATACGCGTCCTAACGGTGCGACATTTATTTCCCAATTTGTTTTAAAGCTACAATAATAATAATATATTATTCATAAATACTATGGAATTGTGCAATTTTTAATGGGCAACGAAGTGAACGAGATCAGCAAGTAATCTATATTTTTGAATCTTAAAAAACATGAAATTAAAGATTTTCGTATTTTTAAAAACAGAGAATCTTCAGTATCGACATTTTGATAGAATAAAAATTGTGTCTTTTGGAGATTACTACAAAAATCAGTTTTACCTCAGTGAAAAAAATTTGCTCTGTTACTCATTACTTAAAAAATAATTTAAAGACCGGCTTAAAAAATAAGTACTGTTGGCACGTAGCTTTCCTTTGATGTAGACTGTTTACTTGGCCGATCGGAAATTATGCTGCACGGCATCAAAAAAAAGCCGTGGAAAATGTATTCATGTATTCAGGTCCATTTCCCCAGCACCCCCACTTTCAAATTTCGGGTCCGATCCGGTCCCAATCGTTTGTACCTGATTGTACTTCTAGTCCCTTCGTTTGTACCTCAACAGTTTTTAAGTTATCCCTGTTTTACTTGGGAGGATACAAGTAAATCACACTTTTACTCCATAAAATAAAAAACATTGTGTGTAAAGTTTAATTTTGTCTATGATACATACATTAACTTAGTTAAAGTTATCCCTGTTTATTATCATGTACATTTTCAACATTTCTTAAGTTCGTGTGGTTAAAATTTTTAAAATTTTTGAAATTTTGCGGAATTTTGCATTCTCCCCATCAGATGTATTTCCATGACTAGTGTAAACTTAGGAATACATCATATTCAAATTTACAATATATTTTTAATAAAAAATGAATTAAAATACAAACGGTTGAATATAAATATATGTGTATGTAAATTGTGATGAAAGTTATACTAATCAACTTCACTTTAATTCTGTTTTGATAAATTATATACGTAATTTTCTTGAATTCATTATTTAAAATATATATTTATTTTATTTCTTAATAAAATGTAATAAGTGTCTTATTAAAATTTATCCAATGGTATTTATTTTGTTATTAGAACTCTATTGAAATATTTTATCGTGTAGTTCGTGTAATAATTAAATGTGCCTATTTATTATGATTATATAATTATTATTTATCAATTATCTATTTTTCAATTTTAATACTATTTTTCCTTTTTTAGATTTTCGTAAACTTTATATACCTTTAGATATTTATTGTATGTTTTATTGTATCCTATTGTATTTATATCCAAACTACACTATTTGTACTATTGAGCTTTGGCCCGTTTTATTCTACTGAATAAACTATTATTATGTTATTATAATGTTATTTAGGTACACGTTATTTTCCGTTTGTATTATGACTTTGATCTGAAATATCTTTTTGTAACAATTTAAAATGAACACATTATATATATATTTAAGTCAAACCTCGTGTTGAATCTTTTTTATTATTTATATATTGTTTTTTATTTTATTATTATTATTATTATTTTAACAAAAGGACCGATGGCACGATTTTATTATAATCCGACACCATCTGATCGGCGGTAATATTATTTTATTTGTGAAAAAATTATTCCATCAAATACTAAACAAAGTTGCTATAATTTTCGGCTTATAGGTCTGGTACACATGTTTGTTTTTGTCGCTACGGCACCGCAGTTGTTGAATACACACCATTGCGTTTTTGTTGATGTGACCGCTCGTCAGACACCTGAGATGGTATTCATCGTAGAATATCACTTTAGTTGCCATTCAGTCACCAACTGTAACTAACTGATAGTATTGGATAAATTTTAATAAGACACTTGTTACTTTTTATTAAGAAATAAAATAAATATATATTTTAAATAGTGAATTCAAGAAAATTACGTATATAATTTATCAAAACAGAATTAAAGTGAAGTTGATTAGTATAACTTTCATCACAATTTACATACACATATATTTATATTCAACCGTTTGTATTTTAATTCATTTTTTATTAAAAATATATTGTAAATTTAAATATGATGTATTCCTAAGTTTACACTAGTCATGGAAATACATCTGATGCGGAGAATGCAAAATTCTGCAAAATTTCAAAAATTTTAAAAATTTTAACCACACGAACTTAAGAAATGTTGAAAATGTACATGATAATAAACAGGGATAATTTAAACTAAGTTAATGTATGTATCATAGACAAAATTAAACTTTACACACAATGTTTTTTATTTTATAGAGTAAAAGTGTGATTTACTTGTATCCTCTCAAGTAAAACAGGGATAACTTAAAAACTGTTGAGGTACAAACGAAGGGACTAGAAGTACAACCAGGTACAAACGAGGTACAAACGATTGGGACCGGATCGGACCCGAAATTTGAATGTGGGGGTGCTGGGGAAATGAACCTCATGTATTCACGCTCATACCACGCGGCAAAAGCTGCTCCGCCTGAACGCACCTTAATACAATACAATAATAAGCACAGTTTTAAAAATAGTAAAGTACAATTTTAAATTTTCATATTAAATTACACTTTTTTAATTTTTGATTAAACCTAACATTAAATTAACTGTTTATAGTTTTTAAATATTTTAATAAATTTTTAAGGTTTATTCTATTTAAAAATTCCAATAATTGTATAAAATAATAGAAAAATTAAAATATCTTGACCGGCTTCAACAATTATTTTGATTTTACTTTTTTTAGAGTTGTATGGCTGTATTATTAATTAATGCGACTTCATACACTATTCACACTTTCAGTTAATTTTTAATTACAATCGAGTATTAAATCATATACCATGTTTTTTATTATTTATAAAGAAATTAATAATGACGTTATGTCATACTTAATTTGAATGACTTTCTATACGGCTTAAACGTACGGCTATAAACGAAATTATAATCAAAATAAATGAAAACGTATTATTATTTAGAGTTCATTTTTACCATAAGTTCTATAATGTAAATTAAAAAATGAACATGAATATATTTTGATTTGATTTACTTAATTACTATTATTATCATATTACTGCGTTTTTTCAATAACACAATTCGCCCAATAGAATAATTACATCTTTATTAAAAACGATCATCAATTGAACAATATATCGAACGTTTTTAAAAATGATTAAAATAAAATATAAGATATTGCTATTTTTGTTAGTTTTTCCGCGTACTTATAGGTTATACAATGCGAGTTCAGATTGATCGATTAGTTGATTTTAGTATGTAAAGTATACCACCATTTCCTAACTCCTAATTCTGACATAAACTGAAAATCTACAAACAAATCGTTGTAATAGTGTTTAATGTTATCGGTATAATCTATGTGGATTTTTGTTTTCCTTGTTAATTCTTTGTTCACTGTAGCTAAAGACGAAACTTTATTTTATGTTTTAACTTTTCATTTTCAAAGTTTTTTTGAATTAAAATATTCATTGATTAAATTCCTTTCATTTCGCTTACAGCAGTGATTTTGTACGAATTATAAAACCGAATAATGAAAATTCCGAAACTGAACATAAAAAATCCCTTTAAAATGTGAAATTATAAATTATATAAGATTACAAATTATTTAATTGTTAGGTATGGAATAAACCTTGCTGCAATAATAGTATAAAATAAAGTATTTTAAAAATGTTAACACATTTCTTTTATTAATTATTTGGATACAACTATTTTGTTACTGTTCAACATAGATTGTATCATCTTAGTTTAACTATTAGCGATTGATGCGGATAGAGAGGAATACATTAATAATGTTTTTATTTCATTGAAGAGCTTCGAAATAAATAATATATTAAACTTGGAATGAACAGCTATAACGCCACTTTTGTACTTGGAATGGTATAAATTATTATTTTTAGTCTAATACATTTTCTTGCGAAGTTTGCGAAAAGTTTACAGATAAATGTAAGTAGAAAAAAAAAACACTAATCTTTTGAGCTTTTCCTTCTATTTCCCGCGCAATCCAAACTCGTGTTATTCGTGCATTCGGGATTTGGTGCACATGACGTTATACTCGTAACGTGTTCATTGTACGATACGAAAGCAACGAATTATCAGCTAAATGGGACAATTAGTCGATTCAAATAACCTAAGCTGTGAAAGTACTTGTTGTACGCGAAGTTTACACGCGTGGGTACTTTTCAGATATAATCAAACGACATATTTACGTATTTTTTTTTTTTTTGTTTTCAAATTTATGTTTCGCTTACGGCAACGACGGAAACTCATTTCGCGATCGTAACGCTCACACACTTGTCGTACAGCGTTGACGCGCGCTCAACAATCACTCGACTTTTACAATACACTCACACATGCGCATTCAGTTGTTTCACATGTACCAGCTGCCTACACGGTTTTTCTTTCTGCGCACGAATTGTTTTTAAATATCGATTTACCACAGTGGCGAATCGCGAATAAAGAGTACGCGACGCACAACACACGTGTGCATCACGTAGGGCAAACGGGCGGGTAAAAAAAAATATATTACTTTCGAATACCGTTGGCCGTAAATTTCGCGGCACCCGTTGCTGCGGACCGGCTGAAAACGCGTGACAACCGTGAACGCGATTTTAAAGTGGACCCGCCCGCGCCTCGCACGACTTTTCCAGGCGTTTTCAATCTTTCGACGAACGTCAAAACCGTCTCCGTTGAATAATTACGATTTTCAGAAGTTCTTTCTGCGCTCGGTTTTTCCCTTTGAACCGGAATCGTTTTCCTTTTCCTTTTCTTCCCGTCCACCATTATTTTTTTTTCAACGCGCGCGTACGGAACGTATTTATTTTCACATTCCGTTCTCCTCCGTGTTGCAGCCCTGTCCCGACGGGTTGGACTTCCGCGCGGTGCAGTGTTCGGCGTATGACGACCGACCGTACGACGGCGAGAACGTGGAATGGCATCCTTACTACGACGAGGAGAGCCCGTGCACGCTGATGTGCGTGGACTCCAAGGGCCGAGTGGAGGAGATGGCGCCCAGGGTGCGCGACGGGACCAGATGCAGGCCGGGTTCATTGGACATGTGCATCGACGGCGTGTGTCAGGTGAGCAGTTCTACGTTTTTTTTTTTTTTTTTTTTTTTTTACGTATTTAACGCATGCAGTTAGGTAGCGTTTTAATTATCACACGCCATCGAAGATATAATGTCCGTCGCGAGTTGTGAATAACATTTTCGTAGCACACATAACATTCGTCCGCAATGCACTCAGACGGATTTGGAAAAGTCGAATAACTTGTGTAGGCAACCCCGGTGTTCATTAGAACGTTTATTTACCATTATTTTTGATTCATTTTTTTTCTCCGGCAGCACGCAAAACGGTTTTCAAAGAAACAACGAAACGGTTTATTATAGACGGGAAAAATATTTTTTTAACAAGAATTATACAAATATTAACACAATTAATTTTTTTTAGTAGCTCTGTTCGTATAAGGCTTACACGGAGATAAATGAAAAAAAAAAAACATTTTATAAGAAACCCATTGATAGATAGTGACTTAAATAGTTAAGGCGAATTGAGAAGAATTATCGAACATGACTTTATAAATAATCGGGACTTGATAAACCCCCTCCCCCTTAACTTTGAGACCTATAATTTGCATTCCACATCGAGCAAACATATGTCAAAAGTATCGTAACTTCTCACTACAATGTGAAGAATTTCAATCAAAAGTACGCAAATTAATATGATTATATATATATATATATATATATATATATATATATATAAATCTACATTATTGCTATTCTACTGTGATCGTGAGTGGTTACATAATGATTTCACCGTTATATTACTACGGTCACCTATTACACTCTTCAACTCGATATTAAGTTATGATTATATTTAATTGATGAAATCGTCGTAAAGAGTGTCCCCTTCACACGTGTCATAATAATAATTGAACATGTTAAAGATATACGCGTGATTTCCAGTAGGTACGTAAATTTTGACAGTTCGAAGAGTAGGTCTTGTAGGTCTATCACATAGGTAGAAAATTCGAATACAATCCGTACGAATATTTTTTATTTCTTTTCCTTTTTTGCCTTTTTAGAAAGTAAAAATAAATCGTAATGCATTATCTTACTCTACTCATAATTTAGAAATACATACCAAACCTTTGAAATATTTTTAAAAACAGCATGCTGTATATTGTTTTAAACTCTGGATAAAAAATCATTATTAAAAAGTAAACCAGTTTCACGTTTTGACACGTCGCTTTTTATTTTATTGTTGATATTTTAGCCTGAACAATATTTTTTCCATTGTTTATTAATAATGAAAGAAGAAATATATATATAAATATTACTCCATAGTGATTCAACAACTAATTCAAAACTATTTGTGATTCACGTACAAAGAGAATGCATGGAATAATTAGCATTTATTTACATACTAAAAATAACCTGAAAAACTGAAACGAATTCAGTACAAAGTCCATTCAAATTCTTCTTTATCAATAATATTTTTAGATTTTTAGTTATTTGCTAAGCCCATGTGTTTAATATTTTAAAAATTACGGCTTAAATTGATTTTACGTAAAACATTATTATCAATTATGGACCACATTAAATTAATAATATAAATGTTATTCTTTTTCATAATCACTTTATACATTTTTTTTTCACAATCATTTCCAAAATTCATGGTTGGGATGGATCTTTGGATAGATAAAGATGGACCAATCATCTTAATTCGGTGACATTTATCTTGTCAGCATTTTATCTACAGTATCAATTGTGCTATTACACGAGTTATCACGTGAACATTTAAGTAATGACACAGTCGGCATATGATTATGAATTCTACCAAACTGTCTGCATTCATCATTTTCCGTACAGCACTTAGAAAAACAGAAAGCTGTTTATACCGCAAACGTACAATATATAAATAATATTATTAATATATAATATTTATTTTACCACTCAGTATGTGCGTATAAGTAAAATTATACGGCGTCATTGCGCGATAATAATGACATGACATTGGTAGCTTGAGATTCTCCTTCGACATATTTGCAATATAAATATGATACATACGATTAAAATGATTTAGATTTTGAGAAATATTTATTTGATGTTTCATCTTATTCATGCAAAGGTAATATCGTGGTTGAATTCAATCGCGTAAATCAATAACAAACATATTCGTTTTATTATTTATTTATTTTTATTTAATTTTAATTTCATACAATGAAACACTGGACCACGCTGAAGAGGCTATTGTGGAGGCCCAAGTGTTCTTACATTAATACATTCTACTTTTTAAAATATTCTCTATAAATTACAAAGATAATAGATATCGCAAAATATAACAGTAAATACAGAAATATAATTAATAAAAATCATAGATTTATATAAATTATGACTATTTATTTATAATCTTGAATCTTATTCAAACGTTATAATAATTCGATTACCTCATTTTCTCAAGTTATCCCATTTATGATTGGATCTTAATCTTAACCCCTTAAAAATTAATTTAATAAGTATTTTTATTTCAATTACATTTTCAATAATTTTAGAAAAAAAAAATTATTTCCAAATCTCAAACGGAAACAAAATTATTGTTTTCCTTTTTAATATATTGGATATACCATAAAATGTAAACCGTTGCTAAAAAAAAAAAAATGTAGTTTTATAATATGTTAAAGTACATTATTAATTTTAAAATGTTTATTGAAAAAAACGATTAACACAGGTGCTCGTATAATATCTAACATTTCTGTGCGCATAACAAATAAATCCAGTCTAAAAATGATTTGATATATTCTGTGACTATTATTACTTCTTCAATTTTACGTTATCGTTGATATTTGTCTGCAATACGCCCCGTTACTTATTCTCTGTAGCGATCATCCCTTCTAATATTAAGTGGTCTTAGGTTCCATAGAGTAATTTTACAAGTGTATTCTGACCGCGAGAGTTACACCGTCATACTAATATTTATGTTGGCGATTTATACATTTTAACGGTTCATTACACAACATTATTCCGTCAAGATCATAATAATTACATGATATATATATTGCATTTAAATGTTCGTATTATCAATGAGAATTTGATTTGGATCAATTTTAAAAAATACAAAATAATGTAACACAAAAAGTGCCGGAGGGCGGTTCACGACTCGCGTTTGTACACTCTTGTTCGGCACCCCTGTACATTGTGCACAGACAAATGTGTGTGCAATGTGTGTTCGGTAGTACTCTGCACAGTCCGTAATTTCAGGGACCGGACCGGACTGAAAATGTTAAAAGAGGACTGAAATCGGACCGAACCAATTGCTACATTTAATTATAGATCGGACCGGACTGAAAATTTAAAATAATTTGTTAGAATGGACCGAGACCGAACCGCCGGTTTGAACTTATAAATTTCGGAATGTAAAAGTTTATGGACCGAACCGAACCGGACCGCAAACCTATTTTCTTTTCTACCATACAAGACCCCAAGTATAACATAATATGATAGAGCGGACAAACGATCCAAACCAAAGAAATATTGCAACATAAAAATAGACTATAGTAAATTTATATTTTAGTAAAGGTATATATATATATATACTAACCTAACCACAAAAAAAATGATTATACAACCGATTATCGAGAAATCGTAGTAGCAAGTTTATTGAATTGTTTAAATTGATCGGAATGCTACAAAACGTTCCATATCGTCATATTATTGTTGGCTATTATATTACGAATCATATTCATATTTCATATTAATCAGCTGTTTCGCATGTTCAAGATAAACCATTTTTTTTCCTACGTAGAGTTTTAAAAATCTAGAAAAAATGTCGTGGGGGGGGGGTTACTGCTTGTGTACACCTTCTATAGTATCTATAAATATAATTAAAGCTTAAGAAATTTAATTATTTTCCATTTTATGTTTTTCCTATACATTAATTTCACATTATTCTAACGATGTATAAATTATATCAACTTTATATTTATTTATTATATGTAATTATTCAACTATTTGATTTTTTTTACCGTAACCCGGCATCGACGGGTATTTCAGCTAGTAAATTATTAGTAGCCAATAGGTTCTATGAACAGCTTTGAGATAAATACAATATACATGATAGTGCATACAATTTATATAAAACAACGGTGCTGGGGTAAAATATTGATTCCCATGGGCCATAATAATAATAATATTCGTGTTATTAATTCTATAAATAATGTCTTTATAATTTTAAATCATCGTTCGACTGATATTATATTTGAAACAAGCCGTAATATTAGTCGTACATTTTAAACTAATCGGGACCGATCAGTCCGGACCGGACCGAACCGAAATTATTATAGTTTAAACCAGGTCATTCAAAAAATTATTGATTCGGACCGAACCGATCCTTTACCTATTTTTATAAGATAAGACCGGACCACACCGGACCGTGCACAGCACTAGTGTTCGGACTAATCATACAAGCCGATAACAGTCCTTCGAAAACCATTTACGTGGCATAACACATTAGTAACGTTAACGTGTTTCCTTTTCACAGAGGGTCGGCTGCAATTTGGAAATCGGATCGAAGGCCACCGTGGACGAGTGCGGCGTGTGCGGCGGAGATGGGTCGTCGTGCTCCAAGGACCTTTACCACTGGGGCAAAATGGGCACCGGGTGTTCGGTGTCTTGCGGCGGAGGTAAGAAGAGCGCCGATTCGTTTTGCGCGCGATCACGGCTCGTGGCCCGTCGTCCGGCCTAGGAGCGGCGGCGGTGCGGAGGGCACGATTTGCGGTCGAAACGACGACGTGTAGGCGCAATCGAAAGCGTTGTTGTACGCGAACGGTTGCTCACGAGAAGCGCCGCGGTGGTGGGCTCGGGCCGATTTCATTATGTCCGGAAGGACGACAGGGACGGTAACGGGTGTGTGTGTGTGTGTGGGGGGGGGGGACGAGTTATTAACAATAATCCTAATAACCCGGTAGAACCTGTAATAACGCGGTCCCGGTGTTACGCGACTTGGCAGCTTTTGACCGTCGTTTGAAAAACACTGACAATGATAGAACGTTTTAATCAATTTTAGTACCGCGGCGGTGCAGTCTGTTTTTCGGTTGTCTCTTATCGTCGTCCAGGCCCGTAATGTGATTAATGGTTTCGAAAACCACGCGAAGTTCCTTACGCGGACGCGCCGTACGTACGTACGACTTTCTTCTTTCTCCCGTCATTTCTCTTGTCCGCCGTCCGTTGCGCGTTCGTATTACCCGTTAATCCAAACACAACGCCCGGCCGAAAATATAATAATCGCCTTGGCCGTGTTTGCGTTCGAATGCAATAATATGTATTGCACATTAAAATTAACATTATGGCTGCACGTACGAGTACACACATGCATGTGTATATTTGTCGACGGTTCACGGAATAAGTTCCGGCGAAACAAATCGCACATTACAATACCGTTTCTACATAAAGAATTAGTTCACAAATAAATATTTTTTTTTAAATATCCATCTTACTATAATATATATTTTTGTTTTGTGATGCAGACAAAAGTGGTAATAAACATTTGTGGTTGACTTTGAAAACTCTTCGAATGCCTTCTCTTCATTAATTCAATTTCATTTAATTTTTTTAATTTTTTTAATTAACCAAAGTAATTATTATACATAAAAATATATATTTTCCCTCAAGTACTATATATATATATATATATATATGTACTCATTATATATTTCACAGTAATTATGTAGGAATGTCACCACAAGATAACCCTATAGTGGCATCATGTTTGACAAATTTATTATATTGCCAAAAAATATACTATTAAAATAAAGTTTTCATTTAACGATATACATTTGAAATACTAAATACATCATTATTGAAACTTCCATTATATTATTGGTTTTTGTGATAGTTTCAATGGCGAAGTGAAAGGATATGAGAACGGTTATTCCTCTGATTGGTTTAATTTGCGTTCATGTCCATTAATTTTATCCGAAATATTTATACAATAAACCGAATTGAAAAGTTGTACAGTTTAAATGTACAAATATTTAAAAAATAAATATATATATAAATAATAATAATATTAAATTATATTTACATATCATATAAAGTTATTAAACAACAAAAAAGCTATTCCTAGAACGATTAATTTCGAATTCGGTTGTTTTCGATATAGTACTCGAGTCATATTTTAAAGTCCACAATATAATTATAGATTTTTATTGCAGACGGCGCGTAAAATAGTACTTATGTGAATTAGGATTTAATTTGAAAATCGACACCGACCATCAAGGATCGGATTAGTACATTTTACCGTAGAGAAATTTCTCTCGCTATCATTTGAGTTATTGAACATCTCGCACACTTTTCCCGTCATACATAATGCCCTGTACATTAAGAATATAATTTATAACATATTACTACTGTGGCATTCATAATAATGGATGTATTGCCATGATATGTTCCGAAATTCTCCGTTTAATAATTCCACCTTGCGGTTTATTGTAAATTATGCTCGTCGGTATACGTATCCGATGTCAAATAATAAATTTTCATCGTAATCTTATGATCGAAAGATTTGGCGCCCAGAGCAAAATTAAAAATATTCGCCCCCTTTTATCATTAATCATAAATCATAATTTTATAAATTTTTGGCGCCCCTTTAGATCATGTGCCCGGGGCGTATGCCTCCTAGCCCCCTCCTCCATGTCATGGCTCTGAATCCTCGCACAAGAACATAATCTGTACACATGCATTTACGTATTGAGTGTTATAATCATAAAGCATTTTATATACTGGAATTATAATAATATATCAGCATTGACCGTGTATAAAAAACATCGTTTTAAATATACTTATGCGGTGGTTATGCCCAATACTTTTTTCAATCATTGAATATTTACTGTTGTTTAAAACAGGCGATAATTAAACAGATTCATCGATGAATTATAGAAATAATTGTTTATAGATGTGATGAATATCATTTTCTTATGCAAACAATTCACGAAAAAAATAATTGAATCATATGGCATACATAGGGTGGTGTTAACGATGTATTTGAAGGAATAGTAATAATATTGAGATTTCCTAATTACCAAAAATGCCACACCGTTTTCTACATAGAAAATAAGTTTTTATTGTACAACTTGAGTAGTAGAACTTCTTATGATCTGCACACATTCGTCGATGTGACCATTAGTGGAGGAGCCATTTAGGGGTAGGGAGTACTAGTCACCCAGTTGAAAAAAAATAAATAGTTTTAAAAATAAAGTATATTTAGAAGAACTAAATAATAGGTTATAAAAATAAATATTCCCCCAAGAGATCCCTACATATGCCTGTAATCATCTATGGGTAATATATAATTTCTCCTATAAAATGCCTCGACCGTAAATAAATGTTGAATCCGCCCTTAATGGTCATTAATGGAAATTCGGCTGTTAAGGAATAACAAGTATTTATATTTATTTACTTGGAGATCAATTGTAAGACAATATGTTTACCTCTATACTCAACGCGCAGACCTATCTATTTAATTATGTAAAATGATACGGATTTATTTCGATGGCTTTATGTTTGAACAACACATTTTTTTTTTTTTTTTTTTGTATTCATGTGTATTCTCATACGTGAATTAATGACTATTTGTTCAAAATTATTTTTTGGTAAACGTCACATAATATCGTTTCCCGTGTGGATTGTTTTGTGTCTCTTTCAATGATTACAAAATTACACTGTTTAATATTTACTTAAGTGCTTATTCAATAAACGAAATAAAAAATGCTAAGAGGTTTCTGATGATGGCATATAAAAAGTTTTCATACCTCAACATTTTAGTGCATCTTATAATTGGTGAGAGATAATCCTTCTATACACTCCTCTCTACAAATTGTTTTCTGAAACCACCGAAAATTCCATAACACACAATATAATTAACAAAAAGAAATTTAAGTATCTTTAAATCATACGTACGATACACCGTCTCTTTAATTGATCTTCAAATAAACTTCTAAAATGAACATTAGGGGTAGTACAAGGTATGGTAGGTATAGTAAAATTATCCATATAATTATTTAGGGTACTCAGTCTCCCTGTTTCCATCAATACAACACTTTATTTAGCATATGTACTTAATGATTCATACTGTTGATGCAGTCCAGTAAGTGATATGGGTTGACATATTTCCGTAACAGTACCATAATTTCTAGGTGTGCTAATTATAATAATGTTGCAATTTATTTACCGGTAAACATGTTAGCGAATAGGAAGCATATAAAGTGAAGGACATTAACACAAACGTTTTACGTAGTTAAGAAAAAACATTTCGACCCATTACAGCGTGAAATGGGTTACGCTTTATACATCTTGATTTCTAAATATTTCTTTATATAAGTAAAATAAAATAAATTAATTTTAAACTAATATTCCTACAATAATGTTGTTTACAAACATTATAACATCTATGTAATGAAAAATTATCGATTGACAAAAGAAAGTTTTTATTATTCAGTTAATTTTTGTTTGATGCACTTTATATTTAATTTTTATTTTTATTTAGCAACATTAAGTATTTCGTTGATGTTTATTTATTTAAAATTTAAATTAAATATATTATTATTACACTGCTTTGTATTTAAAGTTATTATAATTACTTTAACATTGAAAAATACCATTATAGCCATCATTAAGATTTGTTATGATTACATTTATTTATTTTTGAAATCCTAAGGTCAGTGTATAACTTACAAAAATAATTTATATCCGTTCGTTAACATATTTGCATGATATACTATTATACGAATTAGCATAAAATCGTAATCGGATATTATTATATAATGATTTGCTTTATTATAATTTGTTTTCCGGACACTTGTACCTTTTATTATGTGAACGCAATAATTCTAATCTCAACATTCAAAACCACCTTTATATTAGTTATACCGATTGTAACAGCAGTTCACAAGTATCGGACATATTCTTGCTGATTGTGGTGCTATAACAACAGAAGAGCAATAATAATAATAAGAAAAAACAAGTATTTATAAAAAAATTACTTATTTCGTAAAAATTATGAAAAAAAAAAAAAAATGACAAATAAGTACCAAAAACATTAATATTGTCACTGACATTGCGTTGTTCCTTACATGTCATATTATGAATCGCATTTAGTCCTTTTTTATAGTGTTATATCTATGTATATAACTCAAACATTATATAGTTAGTTAATTTATCAAATATAACCTATAGACCGTTGTTCGATTCTAACTTTTTAATCGCTTTCTTCGCGTGAACAATCTCGTACGTACACAAATTCGTGAATAAATTATTAATCTTATCTTGGTTTCCATATAATTCCATTTATTCGGATCTAGATCCCTTATAATAAAAAGTTTTTGTGTTATTCGCTGAATGAATTCATGTATGCTATTTTATAATGGTCGTATGACAATAAGACAAATTAGTAACAACTGCATCCGAATCCCATGCCACCTCTTAGAGGGTTAGGCCGTGTACCCACAAGTTTATTTATCATACACTTATGTGAACAACTTAAACTTTATTTTGACTTAAACTATTTATGATATGGTTGCTGCGACTGATTAGTTTTTGTTTTGAAATATTTTTTATATCCGAGTAAACATTTTATCAAACTGTACTTATTTTGTGTACTGTGGTCTGTTTCACAGACATGCGTATCGGTCACTTAAATGTTTGATATTCAATTCAATTTTATGAGTGTTATTATATTAATCTGAAATAATATTAAAATAATAAAGCTAATTATAAAAGTCAAAAATAAAGTTTAAGTTGTACGCATAAGTGCATGATCAATTAATTTGGGGGTGCACGACATGTAATTCGGAGAGAATCCGAGATGGAATGCAATTTAGACTTTCCGATTTATGTTTATTTTTTTGGCATGCAATTCGGATGCACCGATTAGTAACACACCTGATTAATGTTTTATAACAATGGTGATTAGGTGCGTACATTTGAGTATCCATTCCTTAGAAATAGATTTTTTACAACTTCAAATTATGTTTTATTTCAATCGAATGATAATCCACTATACTTGTCTGCTACTTGAACGAAAACGAATTTCTACCGCTCACACAATAATCATTTGTGATAGATATTATGAGTATTAAATTACTTTCCAATCTGCCCACTAATCAAAAAAAAATAATAAAAAAAATAGTGTCCATCAACTCTCATCGATCGACTACGGATGGTCATCGTTAATAGATGTGTTTGTTATTAATCGATTATTAACATCGATTGTTTTTAATCAGTTTGACGATAGTACTGCCTTGACGTTATGAATCGGCTCACATTTTTGTAAGTGTAGTATTATTTTATTACACACCTACTTATCTTATTCTGAAATCAAACACCGTACAGAACAGTCGAAGTATCATTGGACGTTTCGGCCGTGTAATAATATATTCTATTCGCATTTGCTACGGCAAAATAACTAAGGGTCAACAGAAATATCGATATCAATTTATCTGCCTCGGCTCCAACGAATGTGCGACGGAACAGTGTCGGATAGTTATATGCAGTAAACCATCAATAACTGTACAACATGATATTCGAACTGAGATGATTTCATTTACTATTATAATATAATTCTAACATTTCACTGTAGTTACATCGGGTATAATTTATGCACAGAACAATACGTCATACTACCATTGTATTGTAAACTTAAATTTAAATTTCTGGAACGCAAATAACAATAGCTACCTATAGAAAAGTTCTTTTTGAAATTTGAAACTACTTTAATTTTATAATTTCACACGTATGCATATAGTTGTACGTGTTCAGACAAAAATGGTTTCGCGAGAAAAAAAATGGAATTAAAATTATTTACATTTACCATATTTTGTTTTTTATTCCAGAAGTGAAATAAAAGTTTGTGTCACATAACGGTTGAATTTTTTACTAAGGGTTCATTAGAGCGCACAGTAAAATATGTTTTTTATTTATGTAGTCAAAATTAACTTTTTGATAAAACACTCAAAAATGGTCATTAGTATTCATTACACTTGAAAGTTACGACCGTCAGAAATGCGTTGAAATGCAGTATTATTTCGGGGCAAATGCATAATTAATAAATAAACATTTCCAATCACTGTTTTTTTTTTCTTGTTTTAAGTTTTATTTTATCTTTGTTTTGCTGAACTATCCACATTTTAACAAAACTATTAATACACTTTTAGCATCAATGTTTAACTTGCTATTGTACTTACACAATTATTTTAATAGTTTTTATATTGTATGCATTTCTGTTGATTTTAAATACAATTAAAGTTAGGCTGTTCGTAACTAAGTAAGTAGGAGTAATTATTTTTAATCGAATAATAATTCAATTTACTGTTTTAACGTTTTCGTGAAAACTATCACATGACTGTACTTGAATGTTTTAATTGTAAGCACAATCAATACTTCACAAATGAAATATCTGGAACTAAGCTATTTTTAATGACTCGTAATAGATCTTAAATAATAAATCTTGTCTTATACCTTCAAAATAATAACGTTTATTAAAAATAAAATAAACGTTAATTTCCATTATATATATATTATATATTAATGTAAAATAATATACCGCGTTCGTATAATATGATTACGATGTTATTAAAAAATGATTTTTATTTACGGTTTAATGCATTATTATTTTTGTATTTGTTTGTTTATTTACGGTCGCTATAAATATAGCACAGTGGTTACTGGGGAAATGTCCGTTGTACACGTATCGTGTGCTTAGTACGGGATCAGAAAAGTTATGGGAATTTCAACCGTACAGTCGATGTTTTGCCGAAGCGACGTGTCACTCTCATTACGATGTTATGTAACGTGCAGTGTTCGTATATCTTATTTTATCTGGCGGGTAATAAAATTCCATACGTGCACAATGCAATTCCAAAATTGTCTTCGGTCGCGTTTTCGGAGAGAACCCGAAAACGATTTCAGACACATAGTATTTATCCGCACTGTAGATTCAAACCTTACGTCCTCACACCGTACCCGGTTCGTATTAAAAACATGACGAATTCCATAGCTCGGTAATTTCTTTACTCCCCGTTACGTCGAAGCTATTCTCCGTAAGATATTACGACAAAAAACAACAGCGGTCTTTCGCAGTTCTCAAGAAAATATCATCAATTAAAACAAACGATCGATATCAATACGTTAGCATTGAGGTAGATAACCCGATTTTATTTTCGTTAACGGAACAGCCATCATAATACAAAGTGTTAAGTTTTTCTTTTGCTCGTGTAATACATTTAAATTTATCGTATTATCATTACACAAGTGATTGATCGCTGAAGCCAGTAAAGAGAACTGGAAACTAGTGGTGTGAAATAAATCCGGATTCTCCGAAAATCCGAAAAATCCGGATTTCGGATTTCGGATTTTAAGCTGTAAAATCCGGATTTGAAATCCGAAAATTCGAAATTTGGATTTAAAAATCCGAATATTTGGGTTTCACATTGTAGATTTCTGTATTCTAAAGCAGAAAATAAAAATTTGTCGTTAAAAATTCTAATATAAAAAAACGAACATTTTCTATTTTAAATAAAAAACATTCATCGTTCGTTACAAATATAAATTATTATATTTGTAACCTAACCTAACCCTATTTAGGTATTATTTATTGTGTATTTTTGGATAAATTATTCTGCTACTTATAAATGTTGTTACTAATTTCATGTATAAACTGAGTTTAGGTTGTAATATCTACACGTTATTGCAATATTGATGATTGTTATTGTTATATTTTTGCTTTAAAAGTTTTCCTATAAATATATTAATTTTTTACAAAAAAAAAAAAAATCTGTATTTATCAAGGCTTTAATATAAGGAATCCATAAAAAAATATTAATTTAATGCTTCAAAATCCGAATTTGAATTCCGAAATCCGAATTTTTATCCGAATCCGGATTACGGATTTCGAATTTCATGAATCCGGATTTTCGAACTTCGGTAAATCCGGATTTTTCCCAACACTACTGGAAACATATAAAATATAAATCGTTAAACATGTTATTATTGTTGCGCATTTCTCCGTTTGATCCCGTAAAAGTCGACCCGTTATGAAACAAACTGACCAATAGTAGCTAACCTAATCTAAACTAACTTAACTAACCTAACCAATAGTAATTGGTGTGTTATTATTGACAACGATTGAATTTATAGAGGCGTCCGGAGATAAACAGTTTGTGACGAGATCGCCGAAACGTAATCCGACTAAAACGTACCATGTTTCCTTATCGGCTTCTCGACGAGATGGGCCTAAGAACGTCGTTCTTAATCTATACCGCCTACGTGTACGCACTGCAGCGATGGGAGATTATTCGAATAATTATATACGGAATATTACAATAGGGGTAAACATCAACTGGCCGTCTTTGTATGTACAGCTAAACCCAATGAAGTGTATCAAGCATACGTGATGTTCATAAGCAAATAGCGATTAAGTTTGCGCCGAACAACAAGAATAGTAATATTACTAGCGGTATATTATTCGATAATGTATGGCAAAATATTTTGTGCAACGTCCATCAAACACACATCCGTCCGCGAGTGTTTTGATTGCGATCAAAGGGGTAACTAGAAATATTATGTGTGACGTCCGTATGATAAATGATTAAACCTCGGTCTGTTTTCGTGCTCAAAGTTTTCCCAGAAAACGAGCCTGAAAATGAATCTGTATTATCTTGCATGCATTGTGCACCAGCTAAAAGGAAATAAACTTTCTACCGGTGCAGGTTACATATAATCAATGTATGCCATGTCCGTGTACGTCGTTTAGGCGGTTTTCTATACGAATATTGTTCTGTGAAACAAACATTATCATCGTAACCGATCCCGTCAGCTGTTGTATCAAACGATTTCTATAGTTAAGAGCTGTCATCGCGTGCCCAGACCAATAATAATAATAATAATTGAATGCAAACTTAGAATATCTATCACTAAAATTATTCGATTCACCGGTGTACTCGCTCTGAGTGGTTTGGAATTATCCAGCCGAGTAAACGTGCTACGAAACGCTTACATTTGTAAAAATATGCGACATAAATAAACACTGAAATTTGACTGGAATTTCGTTTTGATTTAATAATTCAACACAACCGTATGGCACCGTGACCACGTGATGACCTGTTCTTAGGTCGTTCACTTTTGTCGGCCTACTCTCGACGGTTTAGGACCACTATGTCGGGTTAAAAAATGGGGAGAGGAGGAGCTAATGATCTACGGTTAGCCTCGTACGCGTGCACACTCGGACCAGGATAATGACTGAACATCCTTTTAGTTAAACGCGTTACGGAATACGTAAACGCGTGCGATGTGTACGCGCAACGCGATATGACTCCTCGTTCACGCTGCGTTTGCTTTGTTCGCAGGATACGAGATGTCCAGGATAATCTGTCAGAACCGGGACACCGGCGTCGAAGTGGACGCTGACATGTGCCCGGGCGAGAGGCCGAACGGCAGCGACATATCCGTGGAGTGCAACAGCCAACCGTGTCCACCCAAGTAAGCACATACGCGCATGTATTATCCGTAAAAGAATATTCGCGCGCGAACGATAACGCGTGCGCGAGTCGAAGCGAAGGGATTGCAATCCGTTTACTCGAAAGCTGCACACGCCGACACGTATTTTGCATTAAACGTGCGTGCGGCCTCCGGAAAAGCCGAGTGTTACGGGCTCGTCCCGGGGTACGGTTTAACGGGCGCGCACGGGTACGCGTCGTCGGCGGCGACGAGTCTCGGGCTTAGAACGCGTCGAAAGATTAAGCGGTGGCGCAAAAACGCTTTATCGCCCGCCGCGCGCTACCACGTACGCCGTACAGGATTTGCTCCTTTTTTTCTCCTTTTTTTTTTTTCTTCCTTTTTTTCACGCCGACACCCGTCACAGCGCAACTTAAGCTTTCCGAGCCCTGTGCGCACATGTGTAGAATCAACGTGTGTTTGTTCGATTTAAATACGCGCGCACACGCGCACATATATTATGTATACGCGAACGCGGTACGTTTGTACACGTGTATGTAGTGTGTGCACGTATTACTCTGAGCACCAGGCGCGTAGGTACTTTTTTTTTTCTATTGGATTAAAACGCGAAATCCTGACTTGCAGTAAGCACCGGTGTATAATGACTTGCTCTCAGTCGCTCGTGAAACGTAGAATAAAAAAAACGATCCGGTACAACGTTGGCTCTACCGAATCCTTTGCCGTTCGTATTCGTCGGTGTAAGCTTGAAATCCCCCCGTACGAGTAAATAATCGAATCCGTAAAACGATTCTAAGGGCAACGTATACGTTCATAAACAATACCGTGCAGATATCTACGCATAAAACGTAACTCGTTATAATAATAATTTTAGTAGTTATAGCCTCGAAATAAAAAATGTTTTTATTTCCTTAAGCAGTATTTGTGGTCGGTGACGGGAGAAATATTAAAATTACCAGAGCAACCATTAGGAGATTAGAGGAAATTTGAAACATACTGCTTGTACAAGGTTTTTAAAAGGAGTGGGATAATCTAGATTCTAGTCCCTAGAATGTTATTTCGTATCATGGGATTTTACTTTACTTGTTTTAAGACGGATAATGAAAAAGGTGTCGAGACGATTGTTAATCAATAACATACGATATATGATTGAGAGGACCAAATTTAACATGTAACTCGTTTTTTTTTTTTTTTTTTAGTCATTTTGCATAAATAAACTATGAATACAAAAAGATAATCGAAGAATTACTTGTTTACACCATCTTTGTCCAATTTCCGAATCTATCTAATATGTTGCTATGCATATCTATCAGTGCAGATTTATTCCCCGAAAAAGTATTTACAGAAAACAAAATGTATGACTTAAAACACTGCGCAGCTCTTCTGGTTTATCATAAAAAAAAAATATTCAGCATTTTCCTTCACAAATACTTATATTTATATGTTTACTTTAGGTTAATGTATGTAAACATACTTACCTAGAGTTTCAAACTTTTCGCGCAATAACAGTAATTTAGTACGTTATTTCCTACCGCACAGCTCAGGACAAAAATGTTTGTGGATTAAAAATCAATGGTTAACATTTAGTTAAAATCAATAAGAACATTTAATAAAAGAAAAAAAAACTAAGAATTAGACCCAGTTATTGGTAAATTCGATTCAAATTCTACACAGATATATATATATATACTAATGTACCTAATGAATAGGTAACATTGTTTGGGTTTATAGAGTTTGTGAAGGAATCAGTGAATAAGCTCCTAATCGCGAAACCAATGAAATACATCGTGTTGTTTGATGTATCTGCAGTTGTTCTGGGCACAAATATATTTATTTTTTTAATTTATCGCAGTTTCCCCGTCACTGTATGGCTAAGTAACGATGACACAAAGATCAATAATCTCTTTACGAGTCTATCAAGATTAATCACATCTTAGTTTTATGTAATCAACGCTGATCGCATACAACCCCGATGTATTATTATTACTATAATTTTATAATAATATTGTTATAATTATGTATTATTATTAATAAATATTATCATATAAGTTTTACTTATGGGAAGAGAGGGTTAAACCCTTACCCCCCCCCCCCGTCGGTACACCACTATCAAACATATCGACGCCCATTATAAGCGTATGTCCGCAACAATGTTTTAAATAATACATTTAATCAAATAAATTTGCAATGAAACGTGTAATAAATAAATGTATTTATATTTCAAATACAAACAAAAACTGAAAAAAAGGTGAGACTCGTCGAATTATTAACAAATTACTTCATTTAAGAAGTGTTCTGCGAGTGTATTTTTATGTTCAAGGAAAACAATTCGTATTTCATCTTTAAACTCAAAAATGCTTAATAATATTTTACAACGGGATAACCACCTAACTACAGAACGAAGTAGTGGTTTTGTATGATCAGATCCCATTTCATTACAGGGTATCGTAAATAATCTAGAATTTAGTGCTTTTGATTTCATAAAATTAATTACACTAATAGCATCTTGTAAGACTTTATTGACAAATGGTTCAAGTTTTTTAACTGCTAAAGCTTCCTTATGAATCATACAATGAGTAAATAATATACATGGTGACATTTCGTTAACTTTAGCTCTAAGGCCTTTCTTTGATCCAGTAAGTACTACTAAGCTATCTGCACAAATGGCCTTACATATTGACCATGAAATTTCATTATTTTCAAAAAATATTATTAATAAATATGTCATTATCAATGGTTCTATAATTTAATGTTTAATTAGATAAAAAGTCTTCTAAAATGTCTTATTTATAAATATATCTGACATACACGAAAAGTTGAGAAAAAATAGAGTAATCCGTAGATTCGTCCAGTTGCATTGCATAATAATTATTTTGCAATCTATATAAAAGTTGTTTTAATATATCATCAGATATGTTCGAAATCCAATACAGTATTATCAGATAATGTAATTGATTTCAAATTATTTGCATATGACTCACCGTGCATAGCCATTACAATTTTTATAGCAGCTGTTAAGACAAGAGATTCACCAATCGAATGTGTTTTTTTGTTTTTGTTATTAAATGTGAAACCTGTAATAGATTTTTTAAAACTGTAGAAAATATATGAAAAACTATTTTTTGAACTTTTAATGAATTTTAATGTCTTTTAAAAAAATTGTTCATCATTTTCACTAAATTACGGATTTTTCGTTTCTAAATTTCATTTACGTTTAGAGGATTTCATGCTTTTGGAAGTCAATATTTCTAAACATATTACACATTTAGGACGATGCTTACCTTTTTCTTCAATAAAATTAAGTGCAAATTGTATAAACTGACCTTTATATTTACGTTATTTTTTATTTGATTATTAAAATTGAAAGTTTTTCTTTCTTCCAATTCCCCGTTGATAGGCTGGTCCGTTGTAGCCTCTGATGATTTAAATTTTTTTATTTTCACTAACACTTTCACAACTAATCATTTAATCAAAAAAATTTCTATTTTAAAACAGTATAGTAGTTAGATACTCAGAAATATTGACTTAAATTACGTGACATTCATGTACTACCCAATGACATCTAGGTATGGAACTGATTAATAAAAATATTTGCAACTGAGATTGTTCAAATACACGTTTACGATGCGAGTTACGAACAATTTAATAATCTATCACCCGATAAGATTACGCTCCTCGGCATGTTATTGTATGGATATAGAATAAAATAAATCATTAACTTTATTTTAAATAATATGGAAAAATCTACTCGTCCATTATTTTTGGCGACCCCCAAGTTGAAAACCACTGCACTAGTTCATAGAAGAGAGAATTTTCAATTGTATTATCAATTTAAAATATATTTTTAAATACGTCTATAGACGTGGTGATACATTATATATTAAAAGGTTAGCTTTTTCTAATGACTTAATTATTTATTGATTTTTGTTAAATTTTTGTAAATTAAGAGTAATTTATTTCAACATTAATGAAGAAATGTTTTTTTTTTTCTTAATTAACTTATTATTTTAAGTTAACTTCATTTTAAATATAATTCATGTGATTTAACATGGGAATTAACTTATTTAAAAAATAGTTAACTTCAATTAACTAAGTTGAAAGTATAATTAATGTAGTAAGAACATGCAATATATTTTATTTACTAAATTATAATAAGATATAAAAAAGGAGAATGTATAAATGGATAAACTATAAATTAAGTAAAATTAATTATTCTAATCAAGCAATAGTATAACTGTTATTTTATTTATTGTTTGGAAAGTATTCTAAAACGTAAATAAAACATTTTTAAAGTATTTAAACAATGAAATTGATGAGTAAAAATATCAAAAGAAATAATTTTGAAAATTTTGAATACTGTCTAATTAAATCAATAAATCAATTGCAAATCATAAAGTAAATCAAATTTAGTTAGAAAATATAACAAAAAATATAAAATACATAACACATAAGTAGAAATCCATTACAACTATAATATTATACTGATTGTTGAGAAATGTCATTATATAGGTATCTACAAAGACTATTTATATACGGTGTAGTAAAATTATTTTTTTTATCACATTCATTATAAACTTATTTTTTGTATAAAAATGTGTATGATTTTTACTACTTATATAGTGTTACAATAAAAAATAGTATATATATAAAAATAACCAAATTAAACTGAAACTCAATATTTTCATATGAGCTTACAGTCTAATGTCTTTTCGTTATTTATAAACTCAAAATGTATAGTCATCGTTTTAATAATAACATAAGATTTGTATAAAAATTCACAGTTTTTGTTGAAGAACTAATCTGATCACGTGAGTTAAATTTAATTTTTAAAGAAATTCCGTTTATTTTCTTATTTATTTTGTTTAAAATAACTGAAAAGCAATAATACAAAAAAAAAAAAAAATTAATTACATTTATGTATAATTTTTGTCAGTAAAATTTGGATTAAAATCTATATATTACAATTTTGTTTTTTTGAAATTTGGTATAAGATTACAAAGTATTCAGATATTAGTTATAGTGTATAC